ATTAACCTGGGTCATATGTATAGCCCTAATGTGTCCTAGTATCTGTTTCATAGTGAACTTTGAATCAAATATTCTGTTTTTTACTACAAACATCATCAAGGTGTATATATATATATATTGTGTTCTTAAAGGAAATATATTCATATCCTTAAAATGTCCTCTACATGAATCTCTCGAGCCACATCCTTTCATTATTCTTACAACTCTCTTTTGCAACTTAAAAACTCTTTCAGAATAAGACGAGTTACCCCAAAACATTATACCGTATGACATGACAGAATGAAAATATGAGAAGTAAACACTTTTTAATGTTTCCATGGAGACCATTTGTTTTGCATTTCTTATCATATAGCAGGCCACACTCAATTTTTTACTTGTGTCTTGTATATGACCATCCCAAGCTATGTCATTTTGGATAGTCAGGCCAAGAAATTTTATGTAATTAGCGCATGTTATAATAGTATCAAGATCTCCCATATCTCTATCACACCTAATTTTTGCAGTGAAATTTATATAATATGTTTTTATTCTATTAAGAGACATTAAATTCTTTTTGAACCAATCATCCAATATCCTGAATACTTCATTTGTTGTGGTTTTGAATTTTATTGTATTGGCATGAGAAATCAACACACAGGCATCACCTCCAGTATTTTTGATAAGTCATTTATATAAATTATGAACAGCAGTGGTCCCAATATGGATCCTTGGGGGGATGTCGTTGGTTATTTTAGCCCATCTTGAGTTTACTTTGCTACTATCTAATCCATTGAGAATGGCAGTTCTCTGTTTTCTATCTAATAGATATGACAAAGATGAAAATAACACCGTCTAATGTGACTGTTTAAGTTTTATCATTTGAAGGCTCATCACCCTTACATGTTTCGATCCCTACGGATCATCCTGAGAGGGCATCAATACTTTTTTGGAAACTACTATTACAATAGCTGTTAATTATATACACATGCTCGTATGTCTGAAATGCACAATGTACGCAGTGTTCAACCTTTCATATTCACAGCAACCTTCCTGGTATTAAAACTTTTTAAAAACTTTCTAGTTCAAGCTTAAAATTTGTAAACCATACAGGTTCGT